CACCTCTCATTTGCCACCCACACAGATCAAACCAATTGTCTGCCAGCACAGCTCACACATTCACCCACACTCATTGACACTTACCATAAAATGATAAAGGGAGCAGGAAAACCAGAGGACCATCACTAGTGAATATTGTAAGTAACCTGGTCAGTAAGGTAAAGTTACTGTATAATTGAGGAGGATTATTAAAATGTCTTGTTTAATTTCACAGGAGGCAGTAGGAAGGCCAAACAGGAAAACAACACAAGAGCTAGATAAGCAGCCTCAGACACAGGCTTGAAAGACAATGGAACAAACTGTTACAGATAGAACCTCTCTAGTCTGGCACCCTCAGGTCCTGACTGGTGCTGAACCAGAGAACTTGCCAGACCAAAGGACGTCAATATTGTAGTCAGTGGGTCTCTTTATTTTTATTTCACAGAGGTGAATAAACAGAACGCTTACAATGGGGCTTAGTAATGTCCGACTGTGCTGATGCACTCTATATAAGTCTATGCCTAGCCAAGGCTTATCAGCTCTTTTCATAACAAAGTTTCACACAATTGTACTGTATTGGCACAAGGAAGTAAATAGATAAAGCATAAAACCCACACTTACACTTAACAGCATTACCAGCACGGTTTCCTCTAGGGTGCGAGCCTGCATGGGCACACACAAAGAATTCTAATCCCACCCACCTCCTCAGCAGAGCCGTGTATGTGGAAGGTAAGCTGCTGCTGGCAGTGGGCTTGGTAGTAGAGTAGGGCTGTGGTGGTTTCCCAGCTACTCCTGGGGCAGGCCCTATGCTGGGCGGCTGCCCTGTGTACTGGGACTGGAGCCAGGTGCTGCCTGCCACATGCCCCACTCTGGGAGCAACTGGGTAGCTATCATGTGGCCTTGGCCCCAACTTCAGCCCTTCCCAAGGGCTGGAGCTGCGGCCAGGGCAGGCCACATCGCGGCTCCAGGAGCTGGAGCTAGGGCCATGGTATGGCTGTTTCTGGCACTAACTGTGCCTCATCAGGACTAGTTTACATTCAAACCCTGCAGTTCTGTTCCCTCTAGCTCAGTGGTCACCAATTAGTAGATCGGGATCTACTGGTAGATCTTGGAACCTCTGATAGGTGATCCTGATTAGTCTGACCAGGAAGCTATCACGGGCTGGCACTTCAGTTGCCCCTCCACCCACTGTCATGCTTCTCCTGCCTTGTCTACCTTTGACCTGCCCCCCTGCGATCCCTCCACCCACTGTCATGCTGCTCCTGGCTTGTCTATCTTTGACCTGCCCCCCTGCGACCCTCCTGCTTGCTGTGCAGGGTATGGGAAGGTGAAGGGGTGGTACTGATGTCAGGGTGTCCCTCCTCACACCACTTCTATACTCGGTCTCCACACAGACAGAAGGGCACGGAGGGAGCTTGGCAATGCAAATCACTGACAGAGACACACACAGTGTGTGAGAGTGACAGTCTCACAAACACACACTGTCTTTCACTCTCATCTTTCACCCAGCACACACACACTGTCTTTCACTCTCATCTTTCATCCAGCACACGTGGGGGATGGTTGTTACCTCTTTTACTGCTTGCAAAGTGGGTTATTTTTGGTTTTGTACTGGTCTGTACATTTCATAATTTTCATTTCTCTCTTATGCTTAAATTTAATTATTTGAGCAGTGAGTTCTAAAATACCTAACCTGTCCTGGCTGGAGTAATTATCCCTTTGGTAACTGCTGCTCCTGGATGTGGCTGGCATGTCCCTGCAGCCCCTGAGAGAGGCAGAGCAGGGGGTCTCCACATGCTGCCCTTGCCTGCAGACATCACTTCTGCAGCTCCCATTGATCAATAATAGGGATCCATGTCCAGTAGAAGCTGTGGGCTCAGTGCCTGTAGATGAGGAGCAGCACATGGCACCATGGAGCCATTGCTGTACATGCCAGATGCTTTAGGAATGGTGCACAGTCAGGGCAGAAGTAAGCTGCCTTAACTGGACTGCTCCACCTGGAAAGAGTCTCAGTTAAATGGAGCCCAGCCAGAGCCTGCTTCCTAAACTCCTGTCCCAGCCCTGAACCTCCTCCTGCACCCAACCTCCTGCCCCAGGCATGAGTCCCTCTGCACCGAAACTCGTTCTCAGAGCTTGCACCCTGAAACCGCTCCTGGACTCCAAGCCCCCACCCTGGGCTAAGCCCAGAGCCCCTCCCACACTCCAAACCCTTGACCCAAGACCAGAGCCTGCACCTCAACCCCCTACCCCAGCCTGGTGAACGTGAGTGAGGATGGGAGAGGAAGGGGGATGGAGTGAGCAGGGTGAGGCCTCCAAAGGTGGAACAAGGGCAGGTCCTCAAAGAAGGGGCAGGAAGGAAGCGGGACAAGGATATTTGGGTCCGAGGTAGATCTTACAATGCACTTAAATTGAAAAAGTGATCCTGTGGTTAAAAAGGGTGGAGACCACTGCTGTAGGGCAATGACAATGGTAATCAATGATCAAACACAGCCTTCTTCAAGCAAAGCACTTTGTGTTAGAACAAGCATTTAAGAGAAAACAGATCTTAAAAACAAGAGAACAGCCTTTGCACATCTGCTTTTCCATAAGGCTTACCATTCCTTGGATCTGGGAAAGACCAGTCTCTTTCGACTCCAGCACAAAGCCTCTCTCTGTGGGTCAATGTGACCCACGATCACTACCCACAATTCTTTGCTAAGATATACTTTTTAAATCTCTAGTCTTTTGATCTCTTGGCTCCAAACTCTGGCAAAAGAAAGCTGTCAACATGCTGGAGGCAAGCTCTTTGAAACTACCGGTTGAACCTCTCTACTCTGGCATTCTCTGGTCCGGCAGCATCCATGGTCTGGCATGATTTTAGACAGCCAGTGGTATGCTTATTGTGGGCATAGCCACAGTCAGACATTATTAAGCAGCATTGTAGGTGTTCTGTTTATTTGCCCCTGTGAAATAAAAAGAGAGAGAGACCCATTCACTACAATATTGATGTCCCGTGGTCCGGCAAGTTCTCTGGTTCAGCACCAGTCAAGACCTGGTCAGATATCAGAAAAACAGGTTTTAAGGAATTAAATCTAATGAAGGTACAATGGAAGGAAGTATTAAAGAAGACTAACAAACAGTGCAAGACACATGTTAAACCAGGCTGACCTCTTCCATTTCTAAAATAATAAGAATGTAAGAAGTAGCCAATGTATATTCACAAAACCTCAGACATCTTAAGATGAAGCAGAACCTGAACTGGAAGTACAAAGCAGAAGCATGAGACTGGGTGAAGACTCCGAAAGCTGCATGTGTCTGTGGTTAGCTGCAAGTAATAACAGGCTAGCTGGAGCAGGAGCAGCCTTTCCTTTGAAGATAAACACTTTCCAGCACTTAGGATAACCACACAGAAAACTGCCAGAGATTCTGCTTATGTTGTTAGTGGGAATGAATCTTTCAGTGAAGTAACAGACGGTAGATTAAGGGAAGGACAAGTGTAAGGATAAGGCCTATTTCTGTAACCATACTGAAAGGCCTAAACCCTGAGGCCTTTATCTGCAGCCAGAGTGAAAGAGCAGCAGCCATTAGCTGAAAAGCAGGAAGTTACATACTCACGTTCTATCTAAATTCCATTACAATAGTGTAATATGATATGAGGCTGCTAAGAAGGAGAGCCTGTCCTAATGGAACCCACTATCACTAGATAAAGAAATAGATCTTAAGATGGCAAAAAAAACTTAGTTTGACAGCATTCTGTCTTACAAAAAACTACTTATAGTCAGGCTTGTGAAACCCTCATTCCTTTCCTTGTTTCCCCCTTCCCTATAGTTTGTCTATATGATCTCTGTCTGGTTTTTAATTGTTTCGCTCTGCTGTATAATTAATTTTGCTAGCTGTAAATCAAAGGTAATAGAGTACAAACACAGCTTTAGGTTGCAAATTTAAACCCAAATAGTCAGGACATTATTAATTAAAGTGTCCACATCAATCCCAACGCTATGACCAAAAAGATACAACACAATAAAGTCTTTCCTTAAATAATCACAAAACATAATTTATATCTAATTCAAGTTTCAAATGTTACGTTAACAATTTTTTCATTGGAATAGGCTGCCAAGAAAGATGAAAAGATTCTAAACACATTTAAGAGTATGAAAGTTAAAGGGGAAAGAAGGGAAATTAGAGAAGTAGAAAAACGAGGGGAACAACTTTGCTGGACTAAGTTTCTGTCCAGCAATTCCTTATGGCCTGTGGATAGCTCCGATAGGTTACAGTGGTAAACTTAATTCTCCACATGTTAGGCTCCTGAGAGTATTGGCAGTCTGGAACATACTGCATTCCTTTGTGTGTCTCTGCTATGTTCCTCTGACCTTTTCAAATATGTTATGTTAGATGAAAATTTGATATTTTTGGCTTCTTATTTCACAAATGAAGAAAAAACTATTGCTGATGGCATTACATATTTTTACCTGAGCCCAATCTGACATTCACTTAATTTGCATGCACATATTAGAGGTGCAAGTGTAAATGTCAGTGCCATAATTTGTTAAAGGTTTCTGAGAGCCAGCAATTAAAATCACCGCAAATTCTCACAATTTAAACCACTTTTATGTAAATGTAAACTTTTCCTAAAACAGCTAAATCAGACTTTTCCATCCAGCCTGAGTGGGGCCTTTTGATAAGCTCAGGGCAATGCTCTTTCTTCTACTGAGGATTTTCAAGAGTATAAATATTAGTTTCAATTTGGGTCTGTTAGACCTTTAATAAAAATTTGATAAAATACACAAGTTAATAAAACAAACTGAATGTTTCTTGTCAATAACTAGAGCCCTGCAAATCTGTGGATATTCACTTTGCATTCACAATTGTGGATGCAGATATTCATGGCTCATTTTTGTTGATATAGATGCAGATGCATATACAAAATTTTTTAGCCACGCAGGGCTCTATCAATAACCATGGAACTGGTTTTTTTATGTGGCAGTATTGCTTCAGTCTGTATTATGAAAATAAAACAACTTATTATTTTAACTTTCACTTACCAGACATGAAGTTGGGCTACCAGAAACCAAGAGTTTAATGTATCCGGCATATGACACCCTAAGAGAAATAAAACAAAACACAGAAAAACTGAAAGTTTTCCATTTTTACATTTCAAAAGAAATTTTCTTAATTTACATGTTTTTATACATTATTTTATACACTAAACATGTATCAGAAGATCCTGTCCAGATATACTTCCAGAAGTTTGTGTTTAACTGGCACAGAGAAGACTAAAACCACATTTTTTTCACACTTTTTAGACAGCAAACTCCTTGGGAAAGGAATTGTCATTTAATGCATGTTTGGCAGCACCTAGATTGCCTGGCCTCTGAATGCTACCGAACTGTAAAGGTTACACTAATAATAAGGGTGCCCCATCTCTTTTTCCAGGTCTAACTCCGCTAGCACAGAAAAGACCCTGTATCCATCCCTCTTAATCTGATCTCACTCCTCAGACTTCACACCAGCCAATTCAGAAGCAGCTCATTCTTCATGCTTTAATCTGACTGTTGAGGTCAGATGACACAGGCTTGCTACCAGTTCCTTCTTTTGTGTGTCTACAAATGTCAAGGCCCCTCCTCCTTTGGAACAGACTTCCCTTCTTCCCTGACAGAAGGAGAATATGTTGGCATTCAAGGCACATTGACAGGCTCTACTATTTACCCAAGACAATGTTCAATTCTACAAAAAGGGCTGTACCAAGTCTATGAACTATGGCAGTCAAAGATGCACAGCCCTCATGTGGATCTCTGCATAGAGAATTTTACTCAAGTCTTTTCTGGAGGAGTGGAAGGACTGGTGTGTGTGTGCATGCACATATATTTTTTACTTCATATTCTCAACTAAAAGACTTATCTGGAGTTGTCCAAGTCCTTCAGTGCAGGGGAGGCTGGTGGTGTGGAAGGTGCAAGAGTCATGACAGGGCCTTGGGGATTCAGGGGGCTCAGGGCTGTGGGGAGTGCAGGAGGTGGGGCCACCGGAGGGTTTCTACTCAGACTATGTGGTGGTGAAACAGAACTGGAGAAGCAGTCAATGTTCCCCCCATTTTTTGCCTTAGATGGAAGCATGAGTTACATCAGGGTGTATGCACAGACCAATGAACATGGCTTTCAAATTCTCTGACTCAGGGATATGGTGCACATGAGTAACTCACAGGGAACCAATAGGGACAATCACTCAAAGAAGAACATAGTGATTCCCCTCTGGCCTTAATTCACTAGAGCTTTCCGTATAAAACCTGGCAGGCACAAGCAACTCTTTGTCTTGCTAAAAAGTAGCTACATTAAATCTGCTTCCCTGCTCCCTAACTTCTTTATAACAGCAGGCATAAGGGGGAAAAGACAATAAGAATTATCTGGGTAATGAAAACATCCTGAACTCTGACTTTTTGGGCCAGGTATCTGCAGGAGACTTTCTCCACACTGTTTACACATTGGTACACCTTATGGTATCCTGCATGACCGTGAACCAAGCTGAACAAATGAATGTTCAAGGACTGCTTCCTTGGGTGCACACAATCTGTTCCACAAGTTCATCTTAAAGTTCTCATATTATAGGAACAGATAGTTTCTAACGGATATTAGGGGAAGAGGAGACAGAAATTCTTCCAAAGCTCGGACACAAACCAAGGGCAAGTCGTGCCTGACTAATCTGATTATCTTCTATGATGAGGTAACTGGCTCTGTCAACATGGGGAAGTCAATGGATGTGATATATCTTGACTTTCACAAAGCTTTTGATACAGTCTTGCACAATATTCTTGCCAACAAGTTAAGGAAGTATGGATTGGACACATGGATAGAAAACTGGTTAGACTGTCGGGCCCAACGGGTAGTGATCAACAGCTAGATGTCAAGTTAGCGGTCGGTTTCAAGTGGAGTGCCCCAAGGATCAGTTCTAGGACCGGTTTTGTTCAACATCTTTATTAATGATCTGGATGAGGGGATGGATTGCATCCTCAGCAAGTTCACAAGATGACACTAAGCTAGGGGGAGAGGTAGATACGCTGGAGGGCAGGGATAAGGTCCAGAGTGACCTAGACAGATTAGAGGATTGGATCAAAAGAAATCTGATGAGGTTCAACAAGGACAAGGGCAGAGTCCTGCCCTTGGGATAGAAGAATCCCAAGTATTGTTACAGGCTGGGGATCAACTGGCTAAGTAGCAGTTCGTCAGAAAAGGACCTGGGGATTACAGTGGATGAGAAGCTGGATATGAGTCAACAGGGTGCCCTTGTAGCCAAGAAGGCGAATGGAAAATTAGGTCATTACTTACTAAAATGACCAGTCCATGGAACTTAATGCCTAGCTTAGATATCTGGGGTACTGTGTCCAGTTCTGGGCCCCCCACTACAGGAAGGATGTGGATGCATTGGAGAGGGTCCAGCGGAGAGTGACCAAAATGCTGTGGGGGCTGGAGCACATGACCTATGAGGAGAGGCAGAGGGATTTGGGTCTGTTTAGTCTGCAGAAAAGAAGAGTGAGGGGGGATTTGAGAGCAGCCTGCAACTTCCTGAAGGGAGGTTCCAAAGAGGATGGAGAGAGGCTGTTCTCAGTAATGGCGGGTGGCTGAACAAGGAGCAATGGTCTCAAATTACAGTGGGGGAGGCCTAGGTTAGATATTAGGAAAAACTATTTCACTAGGCGGGTGGTGAAGCACTGGGATGGGTTCCCTAGGGAGGTGGTGGAATCTCCATCCCTAGAGGCGTTTAAGTCTTGGCTTGACAAAGCCCTGGCCGGGGTGATTTAGTTGGGATTGGCCCTGCCTAGAGCAGGGGACTGGACTCGATGACCCCCTGAGGTCTCTTCCAGCCCTATGCTTCTATGAAAAGGGAGACATGCCCTGGCAGTCTCTTCAAAAACTGAACCTTACAGTGCTCTTTGTGGAGCAGGGAGAAGAGGGCTAAGCAAACTGGTCTCCTGATGCGCTTCTCACCTGGCCTGAATCTGCAGCTGGGGTAGTCCTCTCCTGCCAAGGTGCCTGCATATTGAACCCACATACTCAGCCCCATCCCAGAGCAATGATTTATATGAAAAAAAAAATTAATTGAGTTAAGGACCTGATCAATGCTGGGTAAATCTTCTAGTAAGAAATAAACATGCACGTGATAAGACACAGAAAAAGAAAAGCTCTGTGGGATGCTGTAAAGTCTGGATGTGGTTATTGTGGGCTGAGCCCTATAAATCAAGAAAAATTATTTTATAGTTCACATTGACAGTCCAGTTCACACAAGCTTGAGGAAGCCTTGGCTAGAATAATTTAGTTGGGGGTTGGATTAGGTGACCTCCTCAGGTCTCCTTCAACACTAATCTTCTAATTCTAGAAGCACTTATTGTGTTATTCTGGTGGGAGCAACGAGAAGGTCTTAGGTACAAAAAACAACCACAAACCTGATGGCGCTGTCTAGACTGGCATGATTTTCCGCAAATGCTTTTAACGGAAAAGATTTCCATTAAAAGCATTTGCAGAAAAGAGCGTCTAGATTGGCACAGACACCTCACTGTTTACCCTTTTCTCCAGATCATTTATAAATAGGTTGAACAGGACTGGTCACCACTAGGTACCTCTCTCCATTCTGAAAGCTTACCATTATTCCTACTCTTTGTTTCCTATCTTTTAACCAGTTATCAAATCGATGAGAGGACTTTCCCTCTTAGCCCATGACAACTTACTTTATTTAAGAGGTGAAAGACCTTGTGAAAGGCTTTCTGGAAACCTGTGTATACTATGTCCACTGGATTTCCCCTTGTCCAAACGCTTGTTGACCCTCTCAAAGAACTCTAGTAGAGTAATAAGGCATGATTTCCCATTACAGAAACCATGTTGACTTTTCCCCAACAAATTATGTTTATCTCGGTGTCTGACAATATTATTTACTATAGTTTCAACTCATTTGCCCGGTACTGACATCAAACTTACAGGTCTGCAATTGCCAGGATCACCTCCGGGGCATTTTTTAATATTCTGGGATCAACGTGGCCACAATAGCACTGCATATAAAAATAGTGTTTGTGTGTTTTCTTAAACTTTTATATGCCCCTAAATGTAATCTAAAACCATTGGGGGGGCCTTGATTATCCTCGATCACTAAGAGACAGCAATTTTTAAAAAATTAAGTACATGTCATAGCTGAACCAAATATGCTCCTCCCTGTCCCCTGCAATAAAACAATTAGAAATAAACTTCATATTCAACATACCACAGTAATATTGTCTTTAAACAAATGAAAGATGAAAACCACAAGATTTTGTTTTAGGAATATTTGTTAGAAATGTTACAGACTTTAAAAAAATAGAGCTTTTTAAAGTTTTGCTTACATGAATTGGCCAATGTGCAAAAGCAGTCCCAAACCAAAAAAAAGTTCTAAACACCTATTACTTCATACAAAAATACACACAGCCTAACAAAATAAAGTCTAGTATAAACTAATATATGTAAGAGCTGATCACACTTTCTACTGGATATGAATGCTATTTCTTCCTGACTTAACAAAAAATCTGTTAAAACATTTCTTGCTGTGATTGTTTAATAAATATACTTTTAAGATGAAAAACAGAACATTAATAATGCCTTTGTAGCCATCACATATATGGATATTGATTTTTAGAAGTGTCTTTTAGAGATATTTTGTAGCAGATGAGTGAAATAAAAAGGACAGTTTTCACAGGCTGTGTGTAAATTATGTGGAGGCAATATCTTTATGATGGCCATTCTTTCCATGTGCTAAAGAACTGTGAAACTGTAGTACAGAGAAGCCATGCATATCTGAATAAACGTGCCCTTCTCTATCCTTTAAACTCTGGAGTACTGGAGATGGAGGGAATAAAAGCTCACTCTAAAAATATTGAGATGTTAAATAAATTGAGTCAGCATAAAGATAGTTCTTCTAGGGATGATAAAAAATTTCATACAGTGGGGTGTGGTAGTTGTGAGGTCTAAGGCCAGGTCTACACTAGACCTGGCAGCTTGGCTTAAGGTATGCAATTCCAGCTATGTAGACTATGTACCTGGAATCAGCTTACCATAAGCTGAACTTGGCAGTGTCCCCACAGTGGGAAG